CATTTTGTAGAATCAGAGCAACAGATAAGCTTTAAAAGTGAATTGGGTATTACTCCATCATTTCCTTTGGAATTGGGTATTGGCTCCATTTAATTGGGTATTCCAAAACTCGATACCCTATGATTTCAAGATCAATTGGGTATTCAATTATGAAGATATGAATTTTATGGTTTCAATATCAATAAAATTTAAACTGTTTTATAAAGAAAATAGGATTTACAATTTACTAGAACTTTTCAGAATTGTTTTATTATTTATATAAAATGCTCTTGTTATATTTTATAATATTTTTAACAAGTTCGTTTTGTGACTGATTTTTGATTATTTACGACTGTTTTGTTTCAAATCATTTTCCCTGTTGTTCGACGCCATATTGCCTTCAAATGGTCTATTGATACAGCTGAGACCTACTTATTGACGGTCTCAGCGAAATCAACGGTTTCTGCCGGTCCGTTAAGACAGCCGACCTGAGTAGACAAATCGACGGTCTCATGCTTTATTCATATGGCTTAGTCGGTCTTTGGAGACCGGGGACTGTCAAAGACTGGAGACCGTTGATTAGTTAGCATTGATTCGGGAATATTCGCATAGCATGCATATCGATATAATTTGTCCAAAACTACGAGCGAACGACAGGTTAATTTTGCGGTGATGAAAATGACAATACGCATGGGTTTTTAAGACAATCGCATATTTTATTTTTTTCAATGGGTTTTGATACGCATTCTTAAACTAGAAATGTGTCCATAGGACACGGGTGCCCCCACCGCGCCACTGTTCTGTCAATCTTTTTACTAAGTCAAGGGAAATAACTCTACAAATACTGGATAAATCCACAAGCAAAACCCCAGGTGCAAATCTAAAATATGCTGAGCAACCTGCCTATAAGGTTTAATGACTATGTCAAATCCTTTTTGAGAAACTTGCGACACAAGTTGAAAATTGCAAAAATTTTCTAAGTGAAGGGCAATTACTCTAAAAATACTAAATAAATCCAGATGAAAATACCTTGTGCACAACTGCACATGCTAATCAATATTCCTGTAAAGTTACATGACTCTAGGTCAAATACTTTTTGAGTTACCTGCGACACATGTTGAAAATTGCCAAATTTTACTAAGTCAAGGGCAATAACTCTGAAAATACTAAAAATATCCAGACAAAAATACCCAGGTGCACAACTACACATGCTGATCAACATTCCTGTAAAGTTTCATGACTCTAGGTCAAATACTTTTTGAGTTACATGCGACACAAGTTGAAAATTGCAAAATTTTACTAAATCAAGGGCAATAACTCTGAAAATAATAAAAATTTCCAAACGAAAATACCCAGGTGCACAACTACACATGCTGATCAACATTCCTGTAAAGTTTAATGACTCTAGGTCAAATACTTTTTGAGTTACATGCGACACAAGTTGAAAATTGCTAAATTTTACTAAGTCAAGGGCAATAACTCTGAAAATACTTAAAATATCCAGACGAAAATACCCAGGTGCACAACTATACATGCTGATCAACATTCCTGTAAAGTTTCATGACTTTAGGTCAAATACTTTTTGAGTTACATGCGACACAAGTTGAAAATTGCAAAATTTAACTAAGTCAAGGGCAATAACTCTGAAAATACTAAAAATATCCAGACGAAAATACCCAGGTGCACAACTACACATGCTGATCAACATTCCTGTAAAGTTTCATGACTCTAGGTCAAATACTTTTTGAGTTACGTGCGACACAAAAGTGAACGGACGGACGGACGGAAGGACGGACGGAAGGACGGACGGACGGACAAGGGTAAATCTAAATGCCCGCCACTAACGTGGGGGCACAAAAATCAATTGCGTATTTTATAAAATTAATTGCGTAAATACGCAAATACGCACCTTATCTGTTGCTCTGTAGAATTAAACAAATAATTGAATATTTTTCACCATGCCAACGATTTGAAGTGTTGCAACAATATTCATTTGGAAGAAAGAAAAATATCATTAATTACGTACTTTACCAGATGCGATTAGAAACAAGGATCGCCTACATTTACAAAATATAAAAATATGAACGCGCAACTGTTCATTAAAACTATTTTTCTAGTTGATTAATAGCATTAATAGCATTATGTAATGATCATGACGTTTATGTCACTCATGAAATTACTAGCTACAGTACGACATATATGGCATTTTCGTTATTCAAATAATTGATTAAATGCTTTTTAAGTAGTGTCTATTCTAGGATTTGAAAAACAGGGGGATTTTTGTCGAAAAATGAGAATTTATAACATTTGTTGATTTTTTTCCTTCTTTCTCTATGTAAAATTTTCCCCCTGCCCCTGAAAAAATAGGGGGGAATTCTCAAAAATATTGGTGAATCCCCCCTCCTAGAATAGACACTGTTTAAGTAGAGTTTATAATGATTATATATATAGCAACCCTACTGTATATAACAGTGTTTTCTTTCTCTATATAACTACTACCCTAAAACGGTACTGTTCCCAATAGAAAATAGACATTTAAATTTCCAATTTCCAATGTTTTAATTCCCAAAATGCCTGTTCAAAATTTCCACAAGGCCAAGTAATTTCTCTGAAATCATTCAAATCCAACATATTCATATACATCATCACTCAATAGTTCTACCTGGACAGTGGAAGCTGTTAGCTATCTTTATTCATGATGATTAATTTTATTTATAGCTGAAAAAAGGCATAAAAAAAAAAATCCCAATTTAAGTCAAAATAACGCATTTTTCCCAATCAGTTTGGTACCGGCACCATTCCGTAAGTAGAGAAAAAAAACACTGTATAAACTAATCAAATGTTTACTTGACAATGAAATAATAAATATTATAAGTTATATACACTATCCGAATTCAGCCGTCCTACACTTTCTGTCAGAATAACATTCTCGTCACATGTTATATAGAGGATATTTGTTTAGTTCAGTGTAAGATCGGAATTTATTATATACTTATAAATGAAATATTGAGAAATATTGATAAAATAAAATGCGTATTTTCATTTTCTGTATTTTCACTGTAAAAATTTATTTTTCACTGCAGTGAAACATATTTTCCGTATTTTCACTGGTGTCTTGCCGGACTACTTTCTTTCAAATTCTGCCAGTACACAAAATTTAAGGGAAAGTCTGTCTTTATCGCAAAAAAAGAGAAAAATGTATATAATAAACAGAAAATTCAAGTTTTTTCTAAAAATACATGATTTATTTTCATCTTGTGGCATGAAAATTACCATATTTCACTCGTGGCTACCGCCACTCATGAAATATTTATTTTCATACCACTCTATGAAAATAAATCATGTATTTATAGAAAAAAACTTGAATATCCTCTATATATTTCACCGAGTGAGCACCGAAAGATATATTTCACGAGTGGCGCAGCCACGAGTGAAATATGAACTTTTGGTGCTCACAAGGTGAAATATATTCGATCTTACACTAAACTAAACAAATTTTCTTTTTATTATATGCAAAGAAACGTTTTAAAATGGCATGAAACCTAATACTGAATGAAAAGCGCGCCAAATAATAATACAACGTGACGTTATTTACGACGTCACGTCATAATGTTGGTTCCCAGTACTGTGCACGCTGGTATTTCACTGAAACAACGTAAGGGGCTTAAATTCAAAACAGTGAAATTATCAAATTGATAATTTCACTGTTTAAAACAGTGAAATTACTAGTTTTTTATCATTGATATATTTCTATAAACCACCGAAAAGCATGTAATAAAGATTGATAATTTTTAGAAATCAAAAAATTTAATATATCTGCCAAATTCCCTTCAAATAGCCCAATTGGATTAGAAGAAAATATAGGGTATCAAACAAGCACTTTCTAAAATGTTTAGCAATAAGAATGGATGAATGTATTTCAAAGTAGATGCCACTAACAGTGTCTATTCTAGGAATTGAAAAATAGGGGTGATTTTCCCCCCTCTATTTCAAAAAAGGGGGCGATTTTCAAAATCAAAGGGTGCCAATATAAACTGCCAATGTTAAATCGTCTGCATTAAGTTTACACTGAGGCGTTCAACCGATGAAATAATTAAAACGATTATATTTATTTAAGGCAGTAGAAGTTGTCCCCCCTTAATTTTTAAACGAAAACAAATTATTACAGAACTGCCGCGATTGATTATAAAGGGATTGGCAATACAAATAATCGAACTATCTTTCACGTCTAGATCGTAGCCAAGCTAGGAATTGCCTCATTTTTCTTGATTATTTACTACACTAAAATGGCGCCCAACTGTCAGACCTAGCACACTAGTTCCGGTCGATACGGAACATTCCAATAATTTCCGTCAACTCACGTAACCAGTACCATACGGTACTAAATTATTATTATTAGCTTACAGTTACCTCCCTTCGGTTTTCGGTGTAAATGTTAACAAAACAACCAAATATAATGAGGGATGGAAGTTTTACGGTTTTATTAACTTTTTTTATAGATGCGCGATTTTCACGCACATGATTTTGAATTGTGCGCGATCTGTTAAATACTAGCGTGAATCGCGCAATCGCGCATCTTAGAATAGACACTGCACTAATTATAGTTTGACAAAAACTCTATTAAATACTTAGATAAAATATCTATTAGAGCTATTAAAGAATTGTTTTTATCATCTTTAATTAATGTTTACTTTTATTTTTCTTAAAGGGAAAAAACCAGTTCCAAACAGTTTCAAATGGACAGTAAACCACTTTTTAAAAATACTTTATTGGCACGCTATATATAGCTGTGTTTTAATCAGATTATCATTAAAATCTTTTTCAAACACAATTTGCTGGAAACATTGACCAGTACAACGTAGATAGATAAACAAATAATTTAAAAGAAAATAATTTATTTTTGGCTGATATTATTTGATTAAAAACGCAGGCTAAACACTAATAAACGATAATTTTATACGTTGCTATGTATTTGTTTTCACCTCGGCTATTTTTAGAATATCGGTTTCTACGGGAAGTGACGTCACGCCGACCTTCCCAAGTCTATATGGCAATTCCTGCTCAACTACGGAGATTCCGATAAAAATTCCGGTTTAAATCGTTCAAGTAGATTAGACTATAAATGAACGAAACCAAAAATTGAGGTAAACTTCCTTCTATAAGTACAGAATTTGAGGGCAAATTCTTACACTAACGCCGTAACGGAAAATAAAATTTTGGTAGCGACGATTTTCCGGGGCGGAATTGGTAAAAATTACCGCTGCCACTAATATTGAACCTGTGTAGATTGATTACAAAGGGTTGTAAATACAATCATAGCAATTACCTTTCTTGGATGAGCAGTAGCTAAATAAATTAGACTCTTCTATAGATCGTCAAAATGGCGTCACTGAACACTACTTTTGCACGTTGCACTAACCTCACTAATACCGGTATGCTCGGAACTACTGCATCCGGTACACTCGTCAGCCTCCGTTGCAACCGTAACAACTCGGCTCGAATTCTTGAAGTCGCCTGCCTCCGTTGTATACGGTACTCAGAAGGCACCTGACTTGTAAAGGGAGATGAAGTGTATATGAAAACTTAATGACATACCAGGGTTGTTTCCCTTCTAATAAACTGCATTAAGGTGATATTTAAAAAAAACTAATTAGCGATACGCTTCGTAATTTTTTTCCAGGGGTGTGTATGACAGTTTTGTTAGCTGAAGAGACTTTGAACAGCAAACATCAAAATAAAAGTGACATATAATGTTATGGAAGCCAGTTCTCTCAGTTTTACTATGAGGAATGTGAGTACGTTAATTTATAGGGAATAATAAATGTATTATTTTATATTCTAGATCCTGGTCCTGGCTGAAATTTAGAGTATTGTAGCTGTACATAGCCTGTACCATACATTCAACATGAAAAGGACTGTTAGGTTTGTTAAATTGAAATTAATTCTTATTAAATTAATATTTGAATTTCTTTACAATACAAAGTATAATTTTTTCAACTATCTTGTCTTAAAATATATTATTTTCAGAATATTCCTGTAACATTATTAATATAAAATTTACATGTTTGTTGATTTCATGATGCTGCATAAAATGGTCTTAGCTAGAGCCTAGAATGATAATTTCTTGGGAATATGCTGAAAGTAACAGACGGGGAGCAGTTTTTCTTACCAATCATAGGTGAGACTTTTAAATAGCTTCTTTTTTAAAAGATTTTGTTGTCTTATGTACAGTTTTTGTTGTCAATATGAAACTTAGATATGTTTCAATTTCTATGCTGTTTAATGATGTTAATCTTAGAGATAAGCATTTTAAGATGAAAACAAATCACTAAGTTGAGTAATTATATGTATAATTTGAGATTGACCAAGTCACTTTTAACTACAAACTTCTTATTTTTATTTGCAGAAGCAGTAAGAGACAGCCAAAGAAGTACTCAAACACTTGACATACACATATTGTAGCTTAATTGTTAAAACTATTAAAGTGAATTTAAGCTGCACTTGAACTGTATTTTTGAAATAAAATATCTGAAGTATTTAATATTGTCTTGATATTTTGTTAAACTTGGTTACTTTGCTTTATATCCAAAAATTAAAGTATGGTTGGTTTTCAACGTTGAAATGACATTGAAACTTCAACGTTGTGCCAATGTTGAAGCTGCAACGTTGTATCAACGTTGAAATTTCAACGTTGTTTAAACTTTCAAATCCGAATATAAATCCAACCTTATTTCAACGTTGAAATCTGACCATAATTCAACGTTGAAACAACGCATAATATGATTTTATTCAACTCGTTCAATAAATTTAGTATTAAACCTACACTCATTCAATATCCTCTATGTCTGCTATTGTTAACTAAATAGATATGTTATATTTCCGACACTTAAAGATCGTTAAGAAGTGTTTGTGGAAATCATTTGGCATTTTCAAGTAGGGTGGTTCCAATATTCCTGCTTGAAAATATGATTATGAATGTGTTGCCTTATTTTTAAATTTTCTTTTGACGTCTGATCTATGATATGCAGGCTTCATAGCCTCTGATCCCTTTTCAAATTCCATTTTGTTTATTTCCGCAAATTGTTTTCTAGTTTAGTGTACTTGAGAGTATCGTCCATGTATATGCTCAATCAAAACCGAGCCTGCAACATTTTCAATTATGCCGTTTTGCCGTTTTGAACTTTCTTTAGAGATTTTTTAGTTATTAATTAACATTAACTACAAGACATTATTTTGAAAGATCACTAAAATTTATTCTTATTGATTTAATATTTATGACCCCAAAGTGCGGTCGTATGTTTGATGTTAAAAAATGCAGATGTACCTGTCTAACGCACTTTGGGGTCAAATTTTGACACCAAAGTGCGTAACGCACTTTGGGGTTGGACCCCAAAGTACGTAACGCACTTTGGGGTCGGACCCCAAAGTGCGTTTGACCCCAAAGTGCGGTGTTGCATGGCCTCCAAGAAGGATACCATTTTTTTTAAAAAGTTCATCATATTCAACATGATCGATGATACATGTATATTAAGATGAAATTCACGTCCAACTATAGCAGGAATTATTTCAAACACGTATATAGTAATTTTCGGAAAACACTTGTCATCTCGTATCATTTTAAAATGGCAGCAGTTTTTGGTGGTACACACATGTACATAAAACAGATACGATTTGCAAAACCTGAAATATTACCCAAAATAACCTGCTTTTTATTGATTCAGAATATAAACTGTCTCGTGCTATAAGATTAACGTTTACATTACATTTTACTCCTATCAGTTTATTTCTTAGCCTCAAGACGTCGTCCAAAATGGCCACAAATTAAGAATAAGTAGTTGCAAACATTACAAAAGTTTAAATTTACTCAACAGCAGTTACTTTGATAAAATAACGTAATTGGTTCCTGACGTACAAAACAAATCATAAAAATGTCAAAACGGCAGCTTTCTACGAGATGAAAACCGAAAAAGTAATCATGGTCATGATCATGAAGAAGATTAAAATTAAAAACTTATTTTTTTTTCTAAAACTTGAATGATTTTTCGACATTGTTGGAATATCGGGAATTGTAAAATAATCTTGAAATGAAATGCAGCTGTTGCCGTCACTAAACATATTTTGTCTTACTTACCTGTTTACAAGTCATTTAAACAGACAATAAAATGCATTGAGATGATATTAACCGCATTTTATTACATCACCATCCTATTTAAAATGGGTTTTAATATGGCACAAAAAGTAATTTAAGTACTAGTAGTGGTTGTTATAATATGATCACAATTTATCAGGTATTTGATGTTGTAAAATAAATAAGACATTTACCACACGTGTTTTATTACTGCTACGTCAGATTAAGTAGACACTTTGTAAAATTGAACAGTGATGTATATAAGTATATATCGACCGTCATTTTAAATTCCACCTCAAATATTTCAATACCCTATCAAAAATAAGTCAGTATTTAGAGCCAAACTCAAATGACACCTACAGAACTCTTAATATAGAGCATATAAACGAATGTTGGTGTCAATTTCTCGATTTTGATCCCAGAGTGCGTTTGACCCTATAAAGTCGGCTGAGAAATTTAGCCCGCTTTATGGAGGGCGTTTGTTGCCAAAATTCCAGACATGTGAAGTGCTCTTTTTGAAAACTATTTTTGAAAATGCGAAGGTGCATGTCCAGCATTTTTGATTGTATTCGTTCACCGCAAATAATATGCCTCTTAATTGAAGGCACCCGCTTTTAAATAACAAGTTTACATGTAAATCTTTACAACTGACCTAACATGGAAAACATCAACAAGTTTACAAGCTCGTATGTTCCATTGCATATACTAGTAATACATAAGCATGCTTGCACACTTTTAGATATATATCTGTACCTGAAATATACAAATGAATTGTAAAACTCAAATACAGATAATAGAGTTGAAGAAAACGTGTTTCCAGTTGTAGAACTACAAGAGTACGTTTACACAGTAACATGTAATAGATTCACAAAGTTAAACGATTTTAAGTCATACAAGACTCTGAGTATTTACCAACTTCTATTGCGAACAGGTATAAAACCCCGTCTCTCCCCTATTTCCAAATAAAACTGAAGGATAACATGCCTCTTTCTTCTGTAGAATTATAGATCTACCTAAAAATGTGTTTTATTTGATTGAAGACTGATCACTTACAGTTTTATTAATACGGTAATGTTATGGAAGGCATGAAGGACAAATCTGTGTCAAAATACCAGTAAGATAATTGGTAAGTAAGTCTTCGAATTTCACCAAACGCATAAACCCCACACACGGGAAGATATTTCCTCGACCGCCGGTACCAACATTGTGGTGTGTGGATTGTCTCTTTCAAACATATTCACACAGAAAAAAAAGAAAACAACAGAAAAAAATGAGGTGATTTTAAGGACGAATAATGCTTGTTAGTGACTTAGTTGCAAAGTTGTACAGTGCCTAAAAGCGTAAAGATCATACCAAATATACAAAAGTAGGTTATTAATGTTGTATAACTTGTTGAAAGGACAATAATGTATATATTTATATTGTATTTAAACTAAACGGACTTAAAAGGCGTTATATTTCTTAATCAAAGTAATATTTTTTCACGGTATGCCCCAACTGTTTTAACTATATTGACTGAGTTAGTGGATCATTTTGCATGTAGTAAAGAGCAATAAGCTTCAAATTAAATGACACTTTCGATAAAATAAAATAAAAACTTTGATGATTTAACATTGATTTGGGAAAGTTATCATCTGTTTTCTCCTCGTATGTAGACTTGACATCCAATTTGTATGAAGTAAAATAAGACATTTTGACGTTTTGCAAATGTTGTGCTAGACTCACTATGACCGTATGTATGGTTCAGTAAGTATTGAGTAATTCAGTAAGATTACACTATAGCTATATAAGTTTTGCCATTTATAATGTCAGCATATCTGTTAACTGTATTGATTTACAGGTAAATACTTTAGCAAACTGTCATATTGCTAGTCATGAAATATTTAATTTCTTACCACTCAATGATATAAAACCCATTTGCGCCTGTTGTCTACTTTTGTAGACACTAGCAGTTATCAGTACACTAGGACCTAATTATGAGCGCACATTTGTTTATCATTGTTATTCTATACTTGTTGTCATGATAAGCGTTAATTGGACTATTTTGCTAGACAAAATGCAGACCACTACGTTATTTGCAGTGTGTTTTCAACAAGAATGTGATAAAAATTGCCTTGAAAATATTATTGAAAATGGCTAGCAGAAACAGGTATGTAAAACTTTATATTGTTTTTATTTTATATCATAAAGTATGATTGTTTTATATTGTATAATTATATTTCTGCTCAATTCCTGTTTTATAATTCAGAAATATGTATAAAATGTGTTATGACAGTCAATTTAGATTTTGTCTACAAAAGTAGACAATAGGATCAAATGGGTACGTTTTATCATTATGAAAATATTTTGTTGTTTACAGAAGATACACAGTAAATGAAATCATATCAATGCTTGAGGATGAAGGTAACTTTGAAAAGGCAGATATACATGTTCAACCACCTCCTGTAGATGAACTGACAGATGAACATAGTGCAAGTGAAGATGAAGAAGTAGGTTACAACAACCTCAGTGGACGTCAGTTAGACCAACAAGCAACAGCGACAGTTATTCGCCTAGATGGACGTCATGTTGTTGATTCAGCATCAGACTCCGATCTAGTCAGTAATAAATAAATAAAATAAATAAATAAAATAAATAAATAATAAATAGATAAATAAATAAATACGAAGCAAGTAAGTAAATAGTGTACAGTAAATCCAGTTGAGAATAAGATTTTTTATATTTATCATATTCTATTTTTCAGGAAACTGACCATTCTTCAGATTCTTCTGATACAGATGAATACGAAGTGCCTGCAAATATTGCAAAAAGACCTCAAGTAAGAATTGCACTACGGGATCCAGCTCCGCGTCCCAAACGACCTGCACCAGTAAAGAGGAAGTGGGAAAATAAAGATCTACCTGAGCAAGATAAAGACAGATTCACTTGGCATGGCTCAAATATAGACAAAAGTCGATGGCCGCAAACACCAGATGGCATCTTCAATTTATTTTTTGATGATGACGTGATCAACATGATTGTTGAACAGAGTATAAGATATGCTGGTTCAAAGGGCAACCATTCGTTTTCAACTTCACCCCAAGAAATTAGGATCTTCCTAGCAATTCTGCTTATATCAGGCTATAACACTGTGCCAAGACGGAGACAGTTCTGGAGCCGGGATGATGACGTAAGGAATGAGGCAATAGCTTGTACAATGCCGCGAGACAGATTCGACATATTGGTGCGATATGTACATCTTTGCGATAACAACAATCTTGACAGAGAGGACAAGTTTAGCAAAGTAAGACCACTGCTATGTCTGCTGAATGAGCGCTTCTTGTTATACTTCTTGAAAGAGAAAAACCTTTCAATCGACGAAAGCATGATCCCGTACTATGGGCGACACGGAGCGAAACAGTTTATTCGTGGGAAACCAATTAGGTTCGGTTATAAGATGTGGGCGTTAACGACAGCACTTGGATATGTTTTACAATTTGAGCCCTATCAAGGGGCAAAAGGCCACCAAACCCATGATCCTGGCTTCCTTGGAATGGGCGGAGCAGTAGTTATGGACCTGCTTTCAGAGCTGCAGAAAGATGATGCATACCATCTGACTTTTGATAATCTATTTACTTCCCTGAAG